CGTCTCTAGACTTCAGAATAACAAATTATTCCTGTTTTCCAGTTTGCTAAAATTCCATGAGTCTTACAGAGAGCTCATGGGAATGAGTATTGTGAATAAACTAGGCCTGGATTTCAAAACCTTTGATACCACAACAGAGTGACCTTCTGATTCTGTTCTCCACTAACTCCTTACAGTTGGCACAGAAACTGGCAGAGGTACTGATTTATTTATATGAATTGGATTGTCTTTATAGTTTGCAGATTCCTTTCTGGATAGAGAGGAGAGGTCTAATGTCCCTTATCGACATGGATGTGCCTGCCAGAAAGCAAAGCCACATCTCTGCTGGACAAACGGATGGACGTGGGCATGTAAAGAAGCAAAGACCTCAAGACAAGGATCAAAAGCACGTATGGTATCTAGCTCAAAAAGTGCAAAGGCAGGAGGGCCGGCATGTAGCCCAGCGGTCAGGATACCCGCGTCCCACGTCAGAGCAGCTGGGTGCGATACCTGGGTCTGGCTCCTGACCCCAGCCTCCTGCCAACGCAGACCCCCGAGAGACAGCAGTGATGACTCGTGGGTTCCAACCACCCACGTATGAGACCTGGATTGTGTTCCTGGCTCTGCGCCCTGGCCTGGCCCAAGCCTGGCCTTTGCAGGCATTTGCAGAGTGAGCCCGGAATGAGCCAAATGATGGGACTGCTGTCTCTCCCTCTTGCCTTTCTACTTCTCAGATAAATAAATGGAAGATTTTAAATTGCAAAGGTACAACCAAATGCAGAGCTATAAATTGCTTTCTATGCTAATGCAGAAATACTAAATTGAAACTAACTCCTACCACAACTTCTGTTACTTAAATGATTAATAATCACACATTCATTAAAGCTAAAAGTCATCAAGAACACACGTTTACCATTATTCATTGCTGCATTCTTTGTAATAACAAAATACTGCAAAGAAATTCGAATACTCATCAACAGACTATGTATGGGGCCAGCGCTGTGGCGCAGGGGTAAAGCTGCCACCTACAGTGCCAGCATCCCATGTGCGTGCCGGTTCAAGACCTGGCTGCTCCACTTCTGACCCAGCTCTCTGCTATGGCCTGGGAAAGCAGGAGAGGATGGCCCAGGTCCTTGAGCCCCTACACCCACACGGGAGACCCGGAGGAAGCTCCTGGCTCCTGGCTTCGGATCAGCACAGCTCTGGACATGCAGCCATCTGGGAGAGAACCAGTGGATGGAAAATTCTCTCATTATCTGTCTCTCTCTGCCTCTGCCTCTCTCTAACTCTGTCTTTCAAATAAATAAATAAATCTTAAAAAGCGACTGTAAAAACATAGCGGCACATGCACAGAATATTATATAGTCGTTAAAAAGAACAGCTAAACTCTCCAACATGGAGGTAATGTAAAAGCAGCACCAGTGACTCCGAAATAAAAAGAACGAGGTGTAGGCGTTAAATGGCACACTGTGCCGTCGTCAGACAAGGAACGCCAGGAGAATCCCAAGGACACCCAATGTCTACACAGGGGTGTGGGCTCAGGGTACCAGGTGTGAGAGCAAGACTTTCACTGGGGCTGGCGCTGCGGCTCACTAGGCTAATCCTCCACCTGCGGCGCCGGCACCCCGGGTTCTAGTCCCAGTCAGGGCACCGGTTCTGTCCTGGTTGCCCCTCTTCCAGGCCAGCTCTCTGCTGTGGCCCGGGAGTGCAGTGGAGGATGGCCCAGTGCTTGGGCCCTGCACCCCCATGGGAGACCAGGAGGAAGCACCTGGCTCCTGGCTTCGGATTGGCGCAGCTCCGGCTGTAGCGGCCATTTGGGGGGTGAACCAATGGAAGGAAGACCTTTCTCTCTGTCGTCTCTCCCTCTAACTCTGTCTGTCAAAAAAAAAAAAAAAAAAAGAAAAAAAAAAGAAAAAAGACTTTCACTGGAAACCTTTGCAGTTCTTTGAGACATTGAACCATGTGACTAACTTCTTAAAAAAAAAAAAAAACAAATAATTCTAAATAGCCACCCACTTCTATTACATCAAAGGGGGGGGGAATACAAATCAAAGTCCTAGTATGTTCTCAAAAATATTTAAATGTTTCAAGTTCTATGTGTGTACCAAAAAGAGTTTCAGTGTGGGGCTGACGTTGTGGGTGGCAGGTAAGTCGCCTGAGATGCCAGCATCTCATGGGCGCCAGTTGAGTCCCGGCTGCTCCACTTTTTTTTTTTTCTTAATTTATTTGAAAGGTGGAGTTAGAGACAGAGGCAGAGAGAGAGGTCTTCCATCTGCTGGTTCACTCCCCAAGATGGCTGCAATGGCTGGAGATGCCCTGGTCCAGCGATCCAGGAGATAGGCGTTTCCTCCAGGTCTCCCATGTGGGTGCAGGGGCCCAAGCAGTTGGGCCATCTTCCACTGCTTTCCCAGGCCATAGCAGAGAGCTGGATCGGAAGTGGAGCAGCCGGGACTCCAGCTGGTGCCCATATGGGAGGCCGGCACTGCAGGCGGCAGCTTTAGCAACTACGCCATAGCACCGGCCCCAGGGCTGCTCCACCTCTGACCCAGCTCCCTGCTAACGGCCTGGGAAAAACAGAAGATGCCCTAAGTGCCTGGTCCCCTGCCACCCACGTGGGAGATCCAGAGGGAGCTCCTGGCTCCTGGCTTTGGCCAGATTAGCCATATGGGGAGTGAAGCAGTGGATGGAAGATCCCCCACTTCTCTCTGTCTTTCCTCCTCTCTCTCTGTACCTCTAACATTCAAAAAAATAATTAAAAAAAAGTTCCAATGAAAATCAAAAACACAGAGAAGATAAAAAAGTAATTTCTGGTCGGCCCCGGGACCATCCTCAGAGGGAGAGGTGACAGACTCCCAGAGGGTTCCCTCTGCATGGCACCCAGACTACACGCATGTCCCAGCAGTCACCTGGAGAGAGCGGACTGTGCTATTGGCTTTGCTCCACGGTCAGCACCCAGGACAAAGGCCACTCTGTCTGGTGCCTCCACAGGGACAGGCCCCTGAGCTGTGTTTCTGCCACGGAACAGTCCCCTATCAACAAATCATCGGGGACGAGTTCACGACCCAATTCCCTGCGAAAGCCCCAGGGGTAGGTGGTGTGGCGGAGCACTCTGGCTGGATGACACCGGCCGCACCAGTTCCTCTCTCTGGGTCTCTGCTCGTGCCAATGGGCAGGCAGCGAAGGTCTGCGACACTGAGTCGTCTGAAGACCCAGTCGACTTAGAAACGGGGGGAGGGGGAGCCCCCACGCAAGGCCACCCGCATGCACAAAGGCTGCTGGCTGGGACAGGGACGTTCCGATTCCTACTTTCTGCATTTTTCTGTCAACATAAATGACTTGGTCCACTCTCGGTGAAGATTTCCCTCACGTGCAACCCCGGCTGGAAACGAGTTACGGAGGCAGAGCCCTGGCGCAGTAGTTAAGGCGCTGCTCGCAGCACCAGCATCCCCTGTGAGTCCCAGCTCCACTCCCGAACCCAGCTTCCCGCTAACGCCCACCCGGGGAGGCCGAGCAGCTGGTCTCAGCCCGCCACGTCCCTCCAGGACGGAGCTCCAGGCTCCCGGCTGCAGCCTGGCCCAGCCCCAGCTGTTCCGGGCTTTAGGGGGAGAGAACCAGAAGATGGAAGATCTCTCTCTCTCTGACTTTCAAATAAGTGATTTTTAAAATGAGTTATAATTAGGGAGCTTTTGAAAGACTGGCAGGGTGGAGAGGACTAGTTAAGCCATAGGCACGGTGTGGGGTGTGTTAGTTAAGGGGAAGTTACAGCTGGGTCCTTCAGCCTTTGCTGTCACCATACAAGATGCGCACTTGAACTCACATCCCCAGGGAAGAGCCTTCCGGACACTCAGCTCTGCCACCTCCCTCCCACAGCAGCAAACTCTTCAAAACGCCCAGCTCAGCAAACGGCTCCAGATTCCCACCGATGAAAAAAAACCAAATGGTTTGAGAAAACAAAAACAAAAACAAAAACAAAAACAAAAAACACCATGGTTCCGCTGCGGATTTTTGTCCATTAAATCACAGAAGGCAGGCCTTCTTCAGCCCCGACTCCACGCGGGTCCGGCTTCATCCGGCGGCGGCGCCTCACTACACCGCACTGGCTGGCACAGCCACAGCAGGAAACGCGGCTCTGGCACGCGCTGGGCTGGGAGGCAGGCTCACCTGGCAGGCGCTGGGCGCACCGCTGAGAAGCCAGCTCACCCCATTAGCAAGTCTTTATTGCACCCAAAGGAGACCGGGCCGGGCTCCAACTCCCACGCCTCACTGCAGGATGCCCCAAATCCCCACCACATCCTAAGCCAAGGAGCTGCTGGGAGCCCCTCCCAATTACAAACGAGAAGACCAGCAGCTGGGGCCGGCGCTCTGACCCACTCAGCGCCACCACCTCGGTGTGATGTCCCCTCTCCCACCTCCAAAACTGACGACACAGCCCATAACAGAGCGCTTCTGTGCCTTAAACAAAAGCCCCTGTCCCGTCCCAGGGCTGTCCCCACTGCAAAACCCAGGCGTGCAAAAGGTCACTCCGAGGGGGCCCTGACACTCAGCCACCCCAAACATTTCCGTCCAATCACCGACCCGCCTCGTGACAGCCCCCCAACCCGCAGCCCGCACCCTCCCGAGGTGCGGGAAACCCGAGAAACCCGACGCTCGCTCGCTTCTCCACAGGCCCCGGCTGCCGCAGTCCAGGGGCAGCACCTGGCGCAGGTGCCTGTCAGGGAGCCCAGGCCCCGCGCGCCCTGAGCCCGCGAGGGCTGCGGGACCCGGCGCGGGGAGGGGTGTCGGTGCGGGGCGGCCGCCGCATCCGCAGTCCCTGTCGCAGGCCAAACCACGCCGGGGGCTGCTCACGTGCTCGGGCGCGGGGGCTTGGGGACCCCGGCAGGCCCCTAGCGCAGCCCCCTCTGCTAATTCGCCCAGGGCCGGAGTGGGGGGCGGGCTCGGCCTTCCCCCCCACCCCGCTCCGGGACATCGCGGCCCGAGCCCCCTCCGCTCCCCAGCTCCCCTCGCCGCCCGCGGGCCCTCACCGGACTTGGGCGGGTAGCGGTACACGGAATTGGACGGGATGTCCACCTCCTCACGCCGCGGCTGCCGG